ACTGGTCCCAGTCTGACCACCCCTGTGTGAGTACTGGTCCCAGTCTGACCACCCCTGTGTGAGTACTGGTCCCAGTCTGACCACCCCTGTGTGAGTAATGGTCCCAGTGGTCCCAGTCTGACCAGCACGTGTCTCAGGAGTATTTTAATGATTTCTCTAAGTGTTTATAAAGTTTTATTAATGAAAGTCAGTAAGTTTAAAGGCCGGCATGAACAGGTGTGCAGGACAGGTAAAAACATGAACAGGTGTGCAGGACAGGTAAAAACATGAACAGGTGTGCAGGACAGGTAAAAACATGAACAGGTGTGCAGGACAGGTAAAAACATGAACAGGTGTGCAGGACAGGTAAAAACCAGTCTGACCAACAGGTAAGAACATCAGAGACAACTCACCTCCCACTTCCTCCACACCTTCCAGTAACATGTCTTTGGTAAAGGTGGAGATCTGACCGGTGAAACTGGACAAGCTCCCGCTGACCTGACCCAGAGACTGGCCCAGGCCAGAACCCAGTCCACCCAGCCACGARGACATGTCCACAACCGGTCAACACAACAACAACACGAAGCTAACCGCGGACAGTAAAGCTAACTTGGTTTGGAGCTAAACTACAACACGGTCAGTCCGGTCCGGTRCGGTRCGGTCCAACCCTCCATAACACGTCTAAAGGTACATTTTACCGTCACTGACGTGTTTTACTGAGTCAAACACTGAGCAACAAACCGACAACAGCAGCCGCTCCCAGCACACAATGTAACACAACAACCTGTGTGTGTGTGTGTCCGTCCGACACGTCAGGCTGTAGTGTGACTGTAGTCACAGCTGGCCACAGTCCGTCCTGCTGTTACAGCTGTGTTCAGTCAGAGAAGTGCCACCTCGACTCTAGCCATTATCTTCTCCTCTTCCTGACAGCTGTGACGTCAGCCGGAAGTCCGCCGCGGTGCATTGTGGGATACTGGAGGACCAACAAGCTGTCCCTGTTTATACCTGTGTACCTGTTTTTACCTCTGTTTGTTTACCTCTGTTTACCTGTTTACCTCTGTTTGTTTACCTTCTGTTTACCTGTTTACCTCTGTTTGTTTACCTTCTGTTTACCTGTTTACCTCTGTTTGTTTACCTTCTGTTTATTTACCTTCTGTTTACCTGTTTACCTCTGTTTGTTTACCTTCTGTTTACCTGTTTACCTCTGTTT